AAATGCTAAGTAGTGTCGGGTTATGTTTGAAGGTTCTCAGGGGCCTTCGGCCCAACCCGCCGGCCACCCGGAAGGACGCGCAAGGGAGGGAAATATAGGAAAACTCGCCTCCACGAGGACCGAACACTTCCCTGGTCCTGGGTCTTCCCGCTCCAGACCGCCTAAAAAGGGCCTCCAAGACGGCCAGGATGGTCTCCAAGACGGCTACGATAGCCCCAAGAAAGCCCAAGATGATCCCAAGATGTCTCCGAGACGGACCGAGAGGCCCTTCACATGGGCCAAGACGGCCTCAAGATCGCCCAAGACGGCCCAGAGGGCGGCCCAAGCGGCCTCCAAGAGGATCTCCAGGAAAGGCCGAAGAAGCTAAAATCATTGACTTCCCATCGGTGTTTGAAGGATTTGGTGTTTGCTCATTTGCGGCTTTCCGACGGTCAAAGACGGTCCCGGAGGCCACCAAGATGGCCCCCTGACGGCCTAAGAGGCCCCCAGACAGCCCATAGAGGGCCCCAGGAAGCCCCAGGAGACCTCCAAGACGCCCAACATGGTCTCCAAGACGGCCCTGAAGCGCCCCAAGAAGGCCCCAAGTCGGACCAGAGAGGGCCGCGAGACGGCTTCCGACGGCGACAGACGGGCCAGGAAAGCCCTGAGACTGCCCAGGAAGCCACCACGGGCCCCCCAAGAGGCCCACGTACGCCCCCAAGAGGCCTCCAAGATGCCCCCAGGAAGCTCCCAAGAGGGCCCAGGAGTGCCCCAAGAGGCTCCCAAGAGGCCTCCTCCTCCTCCTTCTCCTCCTCCTGTTCTTTCCTCACTCTCCTCATCTTCTCCTTTCTCCCCCACGTGTTCCCCGAAGGGTTTCCACAACGGCTGGGCCGAACACTTAGTTCGACAGCTTGGCCGAACTCTGGCCGCAACGTTCTGCCTCATGGGAGCTTCAAAAAGGCAGGTGGCGGCGGTCATTCGCCGTAGGCGTCTTCAACCCGTCTCCTCCTGTGGCTTGCCACAGGGGTGCACGGCGTGCACAACTTTAGATTGTTCTGGTCCTTGTAAAACTAAACAGGTCCCAGTGGGGTCTCGGCCCAACCCGCTGGTCACCCAGAATGACCCACAAGGCCAGGAACAACCGGAAAACTCGCCTCCAAGACGGCCAAGATGCTTACACGATGTCCTGCAAGATGCCTCCACGACGGGTAAGATGGTCCCAAGAGTACCCAAGATGATGCCAAGACGCCTCCCAGACGGCCAAGATTACTCTCAGACGGCTCAAGATGCCCTCAAGACGGCCAAAGAGGCCCCCAAGATGCGGCAAGAGAGCTCCAAGAGGACCTCCAGGAGGCCAAATTTATTGATTACCCTTTGGTGTCATTCTAGCGTTCTCGCCTTTTCGGGCTTCCGACGCTCCAAGACGGCCCCATAGGCCCCCGAGATCGCCTCAAGACTGCCCAAGAGATCCCCAAGAGGCCCGCAAGAGGACCAAAGAGGGCCCCACGACGGTGTCATAAGCCGCCAGGGCGGTCCAAGACGCCCCTCAAGCGTCCAAAGAGGGAGGAGGAGGAGGAGGAGGAGGAGGAGGAGGAGGAGGAGGAGGAGGAGGAGGAGGAGGAGGAGGAGGAGGGGAGGGGGAGGAGGGGGAGGAGGAGGAGGAGGAGGAGGAGGAGGAGGAGGAGGAGGAGGAGGAAGAGGAGGAGAAGGAGGAGGAGGAGAGGGCCCCAAGATGACCTCTACAGGCTACGAGGTCCCTTACCAGTCCCCCAGGAGGCACCCGCGAAGCCAGGCGGCCCCCCAGGGCCCCTCCGAGGCCCCCAAGAGGCCCTCAGGAAGCCCCCGCCCAGGAGGGCCTCAAGATGCCTCCTCATCTTCTTTGTCCTCCTCCTCCTCCTCCTCCTTCTCCTCCTCCTCCTCCTCCTCATTCTCCTCCCCTCCCTCTTCTCCTCTTCTCCTCCTTCCTCTTCCTCTCCAACATGCTTCCCCAAGGAGATCCAGGACGGCTGGCGGAATACATAATCCAGTAGTTTGGCCGGACTTCTGGTGGACGTTTCGAAAGAGCAAGTGGCGGCGGTGATTCGCGGTGGGCGTCTTCGATTCTCTGGGCGTGCCAGATGTCTGAACGCATCGGTTCTCTAAACGTTCACATTAGGGTCTCGGCTGATCGAGCCGCCCACCCAGAAAGCAGCGTAGATCCACGACACATTTCCACAAGACGGCCAACATGGCCCAAGATAGCCTCCAAGACGGCCCAGCACGCCTCCAAGACGGCCAAGATGGCCTCAAGAGAGCCCAAGATGGTCCCAAGATGTACCCAAGACGGCCCCAGATGCACCCAAGACGGCCCAAGATGGCCGCAAGATGGCCAAACACGCCTCCAAAAGAACCTCCAGGAAGGCTCGAAAAGGCCAAAATCAATGATTGCCTTATGATGTTGAGCGAATTTGGCAGTTGCGTCTGTTCGGCCTTCCGGCGAGCCAAGACGGGCCACGAGGCCCCCAAGATCAACCCCAGCGCGCCCAAGAGGCCTCCCAGATGGCCTCATGATGGCCCTAGAGGCCCCACCCAAGATGGCCCCAAGAGGGCCCCAAGATTGCCCAAGAGGCCTTTGAGACGCCCAAGACGGACCAGAGAGGCCCCCAAGACAGCTTCCAACTGCATCAGACGGGCCAGGAAAGGCCTAAGACTGCCAAAGGGGCCCCCAAGAAGCCCCCGACGGCCCCCCTAAGAGGCCGAAGGAGGCCCTCAAGAGGCCTCCAAGAGGCCCCTAAGGAGTTCCCAGGAGGCCCCAAGAGTGTCCCCTCCCCTTCCTCCTGCTCCCCCTCCTCCTCCTCCTCATCCTCCTCCTCCTCCTTCTCCTCCATCCTTTTGCTCATAAGTCACTCCTCCCTGTCGCACCCCCGATCGTGTTGGTAGGCCTGGCTGGACGATTCGCCTGAGACTGCCTCACCATCTATGATGTTGAAGTCAGACATCTCACGGATCGAGGGCGCTCATTTCCACAATGTGGCTCTCGCCTTAGCGCCGTGCACATTCGCTTTAAACGTTCAGACCATGCTCAAGAGTTCGTATTGCTGAAATCCCAGGAATAGTGACCCCGCGCGATTTAGGATTCTCAGGACGCAACCGTCCCGCTGACTCGCGACGCTGAAGTCTCCGGAGTTGTGTTTTCGCACAGTTTAGGTTCGCCAGGACGCAGAAGTCACCTTGATCCGCGGCGCTGAAATCCCAGAAATTGTGTTTTCGCACGGTTGAAGGGTCTCAAGCGTGTCTTCCAATGAGGCGCTTCCCGCAACGAAAACAAGTGCCACGCGTGCCACGGCTCTTGCACAGAAAGGAATGGGGAGGAGGCGGAGGGGGCGCGCTGGCTGGTGGATGGGGTGATGGAGGGGGCACTCGGGATGGGGGGGCGGTACTGTGCCGAAATGAAGGAGTCGGGGCGGAGGGGGCGCGCTGGCTGGTGGGTGGGGTGATGCAGAGGGGGCGCTCGGGATAGGGGGGGGGCGGTGCCGTGCCGAAATAAAAGGGTCGGGGCGGAGGGGGCCGTGCCGCGCCGAAACAAAGGGGTCGGGGCGGAGGGGGGCGTGCTGTCTGGTGGGTGGGGGGGGTGCGGAGGGGGCGCGCTGGCTAGTGGGTGGGAGGATGCGGAGGGTCTGTGGTGAGGGGTCGGGGCGGGGCGGTGCTGTGCCGAAATAAAGGGGTCGGGGCGGAGGGGACGCTCTGGCTGGCGGGTGGGAGGATGCAGAGGGGGCGCGCGGGATGTGAGAGGGGGCAGTGCCGTGCCTAAATAAAGAGGTCGGGACGGAGGGGGCGCGCTGGCTGGTGTTTGTGTGTGGTGATGCAGGGGGGGCGAGCGGGATGGGGTGGGCGGTGCCGTGCCGAAAAAAGAGAGTCGGGCGGAGGTGGCGCGCTGGCTGGTGTGTGGGGTGATGTGGAGGAGGTGTGCGGGATGGGAAGGGGGGGGCGTGCCGAAATGAAAAGGTCGGGACGGAGGGGGCGGTGCCGTGTCGAAATAAAGGGGTCGGGGCGGAGGGGTCGCGCTGGCTGGCGGATGTGGGGATGCGGAGGGGGCGCTGGCCGGAGGGGGCGCGCTGGCTGGTGGGTGGGAGGATTCGGAGGGCCTATAGTAAGGGGAACGCGCGCTGGCTGGTGAGCGGGAGGGTGCGGATCGGGGGGGCGGTGCCGTGCCGAAGTAAAGGGTCGGGGCGGAGGGGGCGCTCTGGCTGGTGGGTAGGGGGATGCAGCGGGGGCGCGCGGGATGGGAACGTGGCGGTGCCGTGCCGAAATAAAGGGGTCGGGGCGGAGGGGGCGCGCTGGCTGGTTGGCGCTCGGGATGGGGGAGGCGGTGCCGTGCCGAAATACACAGGTCAGGACAGAGGGGGCCCGCTGGCTGGTGGGCGGGGTGATGCAGAGGGGGCGTTCGGGATGGAGGGGCGGTGCCGTGCAGAGGGGTCGGGGCGGAGGGGGGCGCGCTGGCTGATGGTCGGGGTGATGCGCTAGGGGGCGTGCGGGATGGGGGGGCGTGCCGAAATAAAAGGGTTGGGGCGGAGGCAGCGCGCTGGCTGGTGGTCGGGGTGATGCGGAGGTGAAACGCGGGATGGGGCGGGCGGCGCCGTGCCGAAATAAAGTGGTCGGAGCTCCAGACACCCTATGCAAAATAATAAATTCATGTAGGACCTAAAAAAGGGGAGCTTGGAGGGAGGGGTCATTGCAACACCGTTGATGCGTCTTGGGCTTACACTGGTCGTCCTCCGCCTCAACCTCCACCTCGTCGTCGTCGTCGTCGTCCTCCTCCTCCTCTTCCTCCTCCTCCTCCTCCTCCTCTTCCTCCTCCTCCTCCTCCCTCTCCTCATGCTCACCCTCATCCTCCCCAGATTGGTCCCCGAAGGGTTTCCCCTGCGGCTTGGGGGACACATGGTCCGATAGCGTGCCCAAGCTTTGGTCCCAACGCTCGGCCACACCGCCGCTCCCAAAAGGCGGAGGGTGGCGGTGACCCGCCGCAGGCACCTTCCATAATCACGGCCGAGCCCGTGCTGAAGGAAAGCGCAATCTTGAGCACATCGTTGGCGAAGGCGGCAGCATCACCCAACGCAGCTGCACTCTTCGCGCTCCGCATGGATATCGCCAGCAGCACGGACGGGTGGGCCAGCCAGATTGCCCACTGCAACATCCCGAGCGTGCCACACTTCTGGCACGTGAACGCGTCCGTCAGTGACCGGCCCCAGCCCTCCAGGCAACCAGCGCATCCAGCAACGTTGTGGTCGTAGCCCTCACTGCACGGAGAGCCTGCCCCACTGCGCGCAAGAGGGCAAGTGACGTTTGCGCGTTGCCTGGTGTTGGCGCGGGCGCTGCTGGCATTGGTCGTGCTGTGGCTTACGTACGTCGCATTGAAGCTTTCACCTGGGCAAGCCAGGCTGTTGGGGCACCTGTGGGCTTGCAATCCGTAGCCCGCTGATGTGGCTTTTGTAATAGTTTGCATCATGTGGCCTTTCGGTGTGGTGACAACCCACTGCTTGACAAGCGACAGCTCGCCCACTTGGTCTGCGAACGAAATCATGCATTTGTCCTCCGTCAGCCTAGCAAAAGCACTTAATGCAGTCTTGACGTCTGCGAGAGCCCCGGGGTCATCCCTTAACGGAAATGTGCGGAAATACCTCTTCAGATTGTCTTCTGCCCGCGCCAAGTCGTAGAACATGTCTGCCGGCAAGTGGCTCGGGCGGGACATGAAATATTGCTTTAAAACCATTGCAGCTGTTACAGGTAGAACTGTTGGACCTTCCGTGTCTGTGACATGCTTGCTCGGAGGGGTGAAGTCACGAAGCATCCCTTGCAGTTCAGGAAGGGTGTCCTCAATAGCTACTACCCCAAGCAATTTCACAGCCTCTGCGGCATTCCTTCGCTCCCTCACGTCGAAGTGGCCACTCAGCGTGGGCCGAAGATAAGCAACCGCGTGGGCGATGACGTCTGCGCCAGCACTGGCTAGAGAGGTCGCGGCTGCCTGTCGGACCAAGTCGTCCTTGCACCGCCAGAATGCGACCACATCTATTACCGATGGGCCGTGTTCCAAGGACTCGGGGGGCAGTGGATCTGAATATATGCCCGCCCACGCAGAGGGCAGATATCCATATCCATCGCTCTTCGAGATTGCAAGGCACGACCCCGAAGCGGTGGACGTGGACATATCCTGGCGGCGGAGTCCTCATCCAGCAGCAAGGTCTCCAGCTCTCCCCTTGCGCTGCGCACGGTCCCGGCGCTGCCGTGCCCGATGGCCTGCGCCGCCTTCGCGCGGACCACCGCGCGCGTGTCGTCCAGCACAGCCTTCAGCTCGCCCGCGGTCTGGACCACGGCCTTGGGACCGCCCCTCCCGATGGCCACGATGGCGCTCTCGCGGACCCCTTGGTCTGTGTCTTGCAGCAGCGCCTTCAGCTCGCCCACGGCCTGGAGCACGGCCCCTGGGCCGCCCTTCCAGAAGGCCCTTACGGCGGTCCTTCGGCTGCGAGCCCGGGGGGGGAAGTGAGAAGGGGCGGGCGCTCGGAAGCCCCCCGGCCGTCTGAGAAGCTTGCTGAGCCTCCCCGGAAAGCAAAACAAAACCTCTCGGAAGGCCGGAGGGCTTCCGAGAGGTCCCGCCGCCTTCTGAGGAGGCTTGCCTCCTCCCTCGCCCCCCCCATCGCTCGCCGCCGAGTCCTGCGGACCCCTTGGTCTGTGTCTTGCAGCAGCGCCTTCAGCTCGCCCACGGCCTGGAGCACGGCCCCTGGGCCGCCCTGCCCGATGGCCTGCACGGCCTCCACGCGGACGTGCGGGTCCGCGTCCTGGAGCAGAGCCCTCAGCTCGCCCACGGCCCGGAGCACCGCCTCCTTGCCGGCGCTCCCGATCCTCTTCGCCGCCCACTCGCGCATGTCCGCATCCGCGTCTTGCAGCAAAGACTTCAGCACGCCCATGGCCTGGCGAGCGGCCTCGGGGCCGCCCTCTTCGATGGCCCGCGCGGCGGGAGTGCGGACGCTCGGATCAGCGTCGTGCAGCAAACCTTTCAGATCACCGACGGCCTGGAGCACGACCTTTGGCCCGCCCTTCCACACGGCCTCCGCGGCATACCTGCGGACATGCGAATCCGTGTCGTGAAGCAGAGCTTTGAGCTCGCCTACGGCCTGGAGAACAGCCACGTGGCCGCCATCCAAAAAGCATGATGCAACCTCCTTGCGGATCTGCGAGTCCGTGTCTCGTGACAACGCCTTCAGCTCGACCAAAGCCTGAAGAACGGTCTCGCGGCCGCCCCTCTTGATAGCGAGCACGGCCTGCAAGCGGATCTCCCCATCCGCGTCTGATAGCAAAACCTTCAGCTCGCCCATGGCATGACGCACGGCCTGGATGCCGCCCTCCGTGATAGCGCGCGTAGCACGCAGGCGGACCTTCGCATCCGCGTCTTGCAGCAACGCTTTCAGCTCGCCCAGGGCCTGGCACACGGTCTCGCGACCGCCCACCTCGATGGCGCGCACGGTCCGCAGGCGGATCTCTGCATCCGCGTCTTGCAGCAACACCTTCAGTTCGCCCAGGGCCAATCGAACGGCCGCGCTACCGCCCTTAATGATGGCGGGAACGGACACCAAGCGGACCTGCGGAGACAAAAAGGTACCGATACCGCTACTCCCCGGACCTCTCCGGGGATGCGTTCTGACAAGAATTTCGAGGCGAATCCGACGGTTGCGACGATGGCCTCCGAGGAGGCCCAACAAGAGGAAAACCAGGAAAAGCTAGCGGTGCGGGTACCTTTTTTCCTCCTCTGAGGACCTTCGCATCCGCGTCTTGTAGCAATGGCCTCAGCTCATCCACGGCCCTGCGCGCGATCTCGGGGCCACCCTTCCTGACAGCGAGCACGGCCTGCATGCGGATCCTGGCATCCGCGTCTTGCAGCAGCACCTGCAGCTCACCCAAGACCTGCCGCACGGCCGCAGGGCCGCCCACCTTGATGGCGAGCACGGCCTGCAGGCGGATCTCCACGTCTGCGTCATGCAGCAAGCCCTCAATCTCGCCCATAGCCTGGCGCACTGCAAAGCTGCCGCCCTTCCTGATGGCGCGCACGGCCTGCTGGCGGACCCTCGCATCGGCGTCCTGTAGCAGAGACGTCAGCTCGCCCAAAGCCCGGCGCACGGCTGCAAGACCGACTTCCTGACAGGCGAGCACGGCCTGCAGGCGAATCTCCGCATCCGCGTCCTGCAGCAAGGCCTTCAGCTCGCCCACCGCACGGCGCACGGTCGCGGTACCGCCCTTGGCCAAGGCGAGCACGACCTTCTGGACGGCGGCAGACCTGGACGCCGCTCCGGTGATAGGAACATCCCCAGGTTCGCGCCGTCCTCCGACCGCACTGGGGCCCGAGGGAGAGCGCTGCTCCGTCACATTGGGCCACCAATGCCGAGCAAGTGAATGGACAGAGATGTCGCGTGAAGAACCCGAGACTTGCGCCAGCGCGGTGAGTCCCGACCCGCCGCTCTGCACAATACCCCGCCCCATCGGGGTTGCGACATACTTTGCCGGCAACAGCGAGTTGTGACCGTGGGCCAGGGACAACTCCTGGTGGCGGTGCCCCATTGCGACGGCAACAGCCCCGTCTTGCGCAGAGTGATCCTGTCTTGCCAGATCCAGCCTCGACCGCTCAGCAACGGCGACCAGGCATGAGGTCGCCAACAGGAGCAGCAGGTGCATGCTTGGCATGGAAGCTGAGAGGGCCTTAGAGCATAGCACACGAAATGCCAGATTTCTCAACAAAACGCGTGCGCCAATTGAGCCAAAACTTACGGAGTGCACGCGCACACACTCGGCGGCGGCGCCAAGGATCCTCAGGCACGGACTGCAGATGGTAGTGCCAATTGCAATGGAGCGTCGTCGACGGCACAGTGTGCAAGCCGCGCACACTGTCAAGTGTAACGATGGGTGGTTGAAGGAAGAACTGTGAATCCAAGCGAACCCGCGCACACACGAACTTTTAGCGTCGGCGGCTAGGCAAAGAAAGTCTGCGCTGGCGATGGGATGCCTAAACGGGGATGCCGTGAAATTGAATTGTGCCACCATGCAAGAGGAGGAGAAGGGGAGGGAGGCGCGACCGAAAACGGGGCGGACGAAGCGAGCGGCTCAGGGGGGGAAGGCGCACGGTTTCCCCCGGGGCCGTAGGCGACCCGAGGAGGAGGAGGAGGCGGAGAAGGAGGCGGAGGAGGCGGAGGAGGAGATGGAGGAGGGTGAGGAGGAGGAGGAGGAGGAGGAGGAGGAGGAGGAGGAGGAGTGATGATGATGACGATGATGATGCTGATGATGATGATGATGATGATGATGATGATAATGATTGATGATGATGATGATGATGAGGATGAGATGATGATGATGATGAGGATGATGAGGATGAGGATGATGATGGAGGAGGAGGAGGAGGAGGAGGGGAGGAGGGGAGGAGAAGAAGGAGGAGGACGAGGACGAGGACGAGGAGGAGGAGGAGGAGGACGGGTCGCCCAAGCCCTTCGGAGAAACCCTCCAGGGGACGGATCGTCACACACACAGACACACACACACACACACACACACACACACACGCGCACACACACACACACCACACACGCACACACGCACACGCGCACGCGCACGCACACACACAGGCACACACACACAGGCACACACACAAGAACACGTCTTGGCTCGGCCCACGCAGAGGTGGTTGGTCCTGGCGCCTCCCGCGGTGCGCCAGAAAGGCGCCCCTGCGTCGAGGAGGTCGACTCTGGCGGCGAGCCCGCGACCGGCTGCACGCCGCAGATTTCTTTCGACATCCCCCCCTTCCCTTCCCCGAGCACACATGCCAGCCTAAGGAACGCCAGGGGGGGGGGGGTGCCACAACAATTAAGTCGGGCATGTCCTCCTACAGGAGCATTTTGAAAGGTTTTTTCACTACAAAAAAACCTCCCGAATGCCGCAACCCCAGCGCGGACGACCCGCTCCTGGAGGCGCTCGGCAGGCTCCTCGGGGCGCACGCCGCGGCCGTGCCGCGGGCCATCAGCCACGTGGGCGTGAGCACGCCGTCAATCTCTCGCTCCATCCAGCGCTACAGTCGGGGCGTTGACCTAAGGAACCCTAAATTAGGAACGAGGTCCCTTTTTTCCACGAGTTAAAACGTCGATTTCCCATCGAAAACCTACGGAAAACAGAAGGCAAACTGTGAAACAATTAAGGAACACGGAGCCCCTCCCAAACGAGAAGGGTTCCTTCTTCAGCGCCCCGACTGTATGCCGCCGCGGACCTCTTCGAGACGTTCGAATTCGAGGTCCGCACGCTGTCGCCGGCTCTTATTGGCATCCGGCTCGCATGGTCAGCAGTGACAGATTTGCCGGTTTGGGCCAATTCAGTGTGGGAGTAGACTGGATCAGATGTAACGTCGCAGCTGGATGCGCTCACGGACAAGAGTATCGAGAATGCCATTGGCATGATGTTGGCTACGCGAGCCGCTTCTCAAGCTGATGAGATCACGCAACATGTGTACCCGCCCGTCTGGTTCCGCTGGCTCCGTTGCGTCTTAGACAATATGCAATTCGCTCAGATCGCAAGCGGGAGTGGGCTGTGACAGATTCATTCAACGATTTAGGGCAGATCACAAGTGGAAGTCGGTTCAAGCATCATGGTTATATCTGCCACAGCCCAGAATGCATCGAAGGGGATCAGCCCCGGATTCAATTTCAGAAGTTTGGGAAGTTGCCAGTCTCGAGCTCGCAGAGGCTGGCGGCGCAAATCGTCGTGGAACAAGCTGAAGCATGAGATGCCAATCATGCTGTCAAAGCCCAGGTCTATCGTCGCGCCGCTCCGCTACCATGCACCCCTATTCTGCAATCTGCCTGGCTTCGCCATAGGCACGTCTGGAGTGGGTAGGCGGGGGTCCCTGGACAACAATACTGAGCAGCACGAGGATACACATTATTGGAAAACGAGGGCAGTGAGAGTGACTTAATGTGGGTGCTGAATTATGTTTCCTCTCCGTAATCTTTTTCTGCCCCCCTCCCCCAAGTGCAAGTAACGTCTAGGGTTCAAGCATCGCCCTCGTCCCTGCCTGGACTTTTTCTGACTGCCTTCGAAGGGGATCAGCCCCGGACTCCATTTCAGAAGCTTGGGAAGTTGCCAGCCTCGAGCTCGCAGAGGCTGGCGGCGCAAATCGTCGTGGAACAAGCCGAAGCATGAGATGCCTATCCTGCTTTTAATGAAGGGGCCCTGGGACACACAAATAAATATACACAAATAACAGGATTCCCCATATTTTCTGGATTGTTGTCTTCCCCCCCACTTCCCATATTTTCCCATATTTTCCTGGCAGTCGACGATTAATTGTGTCTGTGTGTTTCTTCCCCTCCTGATTTAAAGCCAAGGTCTATCGTCCGTCGCGCCGTTCCGCTACCATGCACCCCTGTTCTGCATTCTGCCTGGCTTCGCCACAGGCGCGTCTGGAGTGGGCAGGCGGGCGTCCCTGGACCCTGGACAACACAGTATTGAGCAACACGAGGATACACATGATGATGACAATGGCGATGATGATGAAGATGATGATGATGATGATGATGATGATGATGATGAGGATGATGATGATGGTGGTGATGATGATGATGGTGATGACGAGAATGATAATGATGATGATGATGATGATGATGATGATGCTGATGCTGAAGATGATGAGGATGAGGATGAGGATGAGGATGATGATGATGATGATGATGATGACGATGCTGATGATGATGGTGATGATGCTGATATGATGATGATGACGATGGTGCCGGTGACAATGGCGATGGTGATGCAGATGATGATGATGCTGAAGATGAAGATGATGCGTATGATGATGATGCTAATGGAGATGATTATGCTGCTGATGATGATGGTGCTCATGACGATGGCGACGACGATTACGATGGGAGGAGGGGGAGGAGGAAAGAAGAAACGCGTGGCGCTCTCTCTTCAAAAGGGGGACCCAGCACCACAGGATGGTTGGGAAAAACATAGAATGGCCACCGAGAAAGGAGGATCAACAATACTGATTCTGTAGAACTGAGAATTCAGCACTCATCTTAAAACTGTTCGCTCCTATATGCTTGCGTAGTATGCAACATGTATATCGTAGATCCCGAACTCTCGATACCCTCCCTCCTCGACTTCGAACAGATCCCCCATAGGGGAAAATCTGACTTACCTGCCACGTGAAGATGGCGTAGCCTTGAAAACGGGGGAAGGGGGGATAATGGAAGAGACATGCAGGAGGCATAAGGATGAAACACGAGAGATAGCAAGAGCGGGGTTAAGAACAGGTATACAAACAAGCGGCAGAACCAAACGCACAAATCGGGCGGGCGGACCCTAACGGGCGGGTCGGGCGGGCGGGCCCAGACGGCCGGGTTGAGTGGGCGGGTCGCTGAAGCGTCAGTCCCGCATGAATCGCGAGGAAGTCTCGAGCGATAGCGCGATTCCCAAGTGAATCGTGAGGAAGTCCAGAGCGAGAGCGTGATTCCTGAGTGCTGGAGGCGCAACGTTTCAACACATTGAGAAGCAATGCCACGCGAGATGGAACTTCCTGAATACATCGAGAGGATGTCCCGGGCGAGAGCGCGATTCAAAAACATGTGAAAAATGTCAATAGGGAACCGCTGTTGTAAACTAGGAACCAGGGGCAGTCTGGGGTTCAATACTTTGCCTTGTAAAGAACACAGAATGCGAACCCTGGGAAGGGCACTTCGATTGACAAAAACACAAATTGGTCACCAGAGAGGAGGGATCAACAATACGTTATCTCAAGGAGTGAGATCTCAATAACAATCATTCTCGAACTGTTCGCTCTTGTCGGCTCGCGTGTCAGGCCGCACGTACATGCAAAGCCCTCGATACCCGCCCTCTTCGTCTTCGACCGTACCCTCCTCGGGGGTATATCGTTCTGACCTGCCACGAGTAGTTGGCGCAGACCCTAGAACAGGGTGAGAGCCAGAGGATGAAAGGGACAAGGAGGAGGGAGAGGGATGGAGTACGAGAGAGATTGTTTGTCTCATTACCCTGGTCAGCGCCCCAGCAGCAGCTGCTTCTCTCAATCGAGCTGGCTGCGCGAGCCAGTCGAGGATTACCCGCTCGGTCTGCGATTCCACGGATTCTTCCTCTCTGATCCAAGGAGTACGAGAAAGATCTGCAGGAGGGGGGTTCGGAGCAGGAGCACAAGCGGCAGAACCAGACGGGCAAATCGGGCGGGCGGGCCCCAACGGGCGGGTCGTGGGGGAGGGCCACCCAGGCGGCCAGGTTGAGCGGGCAGGTCGATGAAGAGTTAGTCCGCGTGAGCCGCGAGGAAGTCTCAGCGCGCTTGCCAAGCAAACGGCGAGAAAGTCAAAAAGCGAGAGCGTGATTCCTGAGTGTCGAGGGCGCAGCGTCTCAATCCATTGCGGGGAAGTGCCATGCGAGAGCGCGGTGCTTGCACATTGTGAGGATGTCCCGCGCAGGAGCGCGATGTTGCATGACTTGTGAAGAAGTATCAGGCATGGTAAGCCAGGGGGCAGCGGCACAGGGTGCGAGCCCCAGGAGGGGCACTTCAATTGAAACCACAATGGGCACCAGAGGGGGTCAACAACGATTATCTTTGAGCGGTGAGATCCGAACAATAACGCAACAATTCAACGAACCGAGGCGGAACCCCACTTCAACCACGCGTCTGGGAACCGTGAATAACCGTTCGGCCCCTCACATTGATACATAATTAGATTTGGCTAAATACACATATGCGTCTACGTGTATATGTACAGAATCGCAAAGCGGACGCGCATACACAATATAAACAAGTTTCAAAAGAAAACGTGACCCATCGCTCGGAAGAAGTGGGTAGGAACATGAAGTAGTAAGGCGATGACAATGTATTGGGTTTCCGCCCGCCCCCCTGAAAAGAAGTGGGAAGCCATGCAATTCTTGAATTAGGACGACGCGTAGAGACGATTTGACTATGTGACTCCCATGATGCCTACTTTTAACAAGCAACGGAGCCATGTATCATCCATGAATCTAAACTGCACCCGTGACCATTGGACCGTCATGCGCACACACCGAGAATGCAGAACATGTGCAGCGAGCATGCGCCAGCAATTACGTAACATGTCACACTAGCCACACGCGACGGGCTTGGGAACCATTCGCAGCAGCTCCCTGGTGCAGATCGCCCGAAGCAGAGTACTTGTTTTTGTTGTGCGGCGACTCTGTCTGGCCCCTGGTTGTGTCAGAGTCGTCCGCGACCCCGGCCGCGGGAGGCTGAGCGCCTCAGCGGCACCACCACCTCTTCTGCGGCAACTCATGGCAGCCTACCATGCAATATCGTCGGCTCTTGCGCATCGGCACGACTCGAAGCGAATCGACGCAAAACCGACGCCAGCCCACGCTGGTCGAGGCTCGTCGACGATAGCTCTGCGCTTCCCCATGGATTGCACGCGAGTGCATTCTGGAGATGGAATTCCGAGAACATAATCAATGAGTATCGTTCATCCGATCCCCTTCCCCAGCGGCGTGGCCTGGGCCCCACTGGCCGATCTACCCCCCTAGATGGGGATACAGGCCGGTCCCTTCGGGCTTCGAGGGGTGTATCCCCAACTGGGGGGGTAATTTGGTGGGGGTCTCGAAGGGGATGGGGATGGGGATGGGGATCGGCTAGACGATACCGACACGACAAAGGCTCCCATGACTTGCTGCCGCACACCTCCGTCTGCAGAGCCCGGCCTCGACCCTGCCCCGACGGCACGGAGGACGAGCGCGCGGGCCGCCACGCGGCCTCGCGCGGGGCGGGCTCCGCGGGCAGGCCCGGCTCTGCCTCGGCCGGCGCCGGCGCGTGCGCCGCGCGGGCGCCGCCGACCAGCTCGCCCACCTGCACGCGGTGCAGCGCCAGCGGGTGGTCCAGCAGCGGGTCCGGCGGGAGCTCCTCGGGCCCCGGGGCTGCGCACGCGGCCTCGGCGAGGCCAGCACGCAAGAGGTCCTCGACGTCCGTGTGCAGGAGCGCGCCGTCCGCGTCCTCGGACCTCAGCTCCACCAGCGCCCTCAGCAGCCGCACCCCCGCGTCACGCGTGCCGCGCGAAGGCGAGCGCAGCTGCTCCGCGACGCTGGCGGCGAAGTCCCGCGACACGAGGCGTACGAGCGTCTGCACGAGCGGCCGGTGGTGCCGCCCTCGGTGCACGGCGTCACCCAGCAGCGCGCCGCAGTGCTGCCGCATCACCACCAGCTGGTCGTGCCGCGCGGCCGGCTGGGCGCCCTCCCCGACGCCGGCCTCGCCGCCAGCTGAGCAGTCCACGAGGAACTCCAAGCAGCCCTGCTGGACCAGGTCCCGCACCAGCTTACCGGCATCGGGTTCGGGCACCTCGGTGCGCTTCGCGGGTTCGGCGTGGGGGATCCCGATCACGTTCTGCCAGATGGTGCGGAGGAGGGCGGCGAGCGTGACAGTCCACACGGGCCTTCTCATCAGCACCCTGCTCGGGGCAAAGGTGCTGTGGAGAGCCTTGCTCAGAGCGCTCCCCATGCCCATCTGGCTGAGCTCGCCGTGCCAGCGCGCCAGGGCCCACGATCCAGGGCAGTCCTGCGGCCCGGCCTTGGCATCGTGGATCCCGAGCGACTGCAGGCGCAAGCGCTCTGCCTGCGGCCCTGGGAGCTGCACCCAGGGCACGCGGTGCGCCGTCAGTATGCCGAACAGGGAGAGAACCTGGAAGTACCAGGACGTCTCCGCAAGCTGACTGTCCTGCAGCTCGGACACGAAGCGCTCGACGGCCTTTCGCACTGGCGCCCACCCGAACCGTAGAAAGAGCGCCTCCACCAGGCCAAGAAACTCCACCATGTACCGGAACGGGCCGCTGCGGTCTGCGTCGGCATGCTGGTCGCCTGCTCCTTGGAACTCACGTCCAGGGCCTTGAGCCCAGGCGTCCGGCGCTGGGGCGCCAGATGGGGAGGGGCCCGGGAGGTGCGGCATCTCCGCGTGGATGAAGGCCTCGCGGTAGACTTCCAGGAGGGCATCTACGGCGGAGGTCAGGGCGGCGACTTGGTCCAACCTGGCAAGGTGGCGAGCCCATGCCAACAGGGGCGCTGCTCTGCGCCAATTAGGCCGCCCAGCGTGAGCCAGCCGGGCGCTCTCGCGCGCACGCCGCACCCACTCCCTGGCCAGAGCCTCGACCTCTCCCATGGAGGCCGGCTGCACAACGTCGGCGCGGCCGAGGCCCAGCAGACCGAAGGTGGCGGGGAAGCAGCAGATGGCGTGGGACAGCGCCGGCGTAGGGTACTGCAGCACCTCCATCAGGAGCTTCCGCACGTAGGGCGGCACGAGCCGCGCCACGGGGTCGTCCGAGGGGCCCCTGGACTGCAGGACGCCGAGCAGGTGGCCGAGGGCCTGGCGCTGGGGCGGCTGCCCGTAGGCCGACGCGATGTCGATCAGCACGCGCACGGCGGACCGCTGCACCTCGAGGCCCACGCCCGGCACGGCCGCCAGCGCAGCCAGGAGCTGCACGCCGCGCGCCGAGTGGTGCGGCCGCAGCGCCCCGCAGGCTGGGCAGTCCAGGCCCGCGTGGCAGTGCTCCCCCGGCGGCAGGAGCGCGCCCCCGGCCTCCTCGAAGAAGGGGACCACCTCCTCCAGAACGCACTCGTCTGGGCACCCCAGCAGCGCCACGTAGGCCGGGGGAACCCGGAGGTCCACCAGCGCGAGCACCTTCTCCAAGTCGCCAGAGCAAACGACCTTCCGGGAGTGCCGCACGGCGAAGCGCTGCCCCACCGGCGACCCACCTAGGGCATAGCGGTAGTGCGTGTCCGCGCACTCTGCGAGCGCGCGCAGGTAGCCTGGTCCACGCACCTTGCGTCTCCGTATCGCAGGCTGCAGCGGATGCACCCGGCTGCCTGCCATCACAGATACGGCGTCCTCGGTGGCACTTTCGCTGAGCAGCCTTGAGTGCAGCTTCTCAAAGGCCAGGTAGGTCTCGGTGCCGAAATGAAATAGCTCTTGGCCGTGGTGTCGCCACATCTCGTCGACCACGTCGCACATACCGGCGCCGGGCTTCCAGTTGGCGGGCCGCAGGAAGAAGCATGTTCTATGGCGCGCTGGAGTTCCCAGGGGAAGCTCTCGCCCGCAGATGCCACACACGAGAAGATCTATGATGTCGTCGATGACGGCACTGAGCGTGCTGCCTTTTACAGTCAAGGAGTCCAGCACAGCGGACAGCATCTCGCAGAAGCGACGGAGCAGCTCTGGGTGGCGATGCTTAGTCCGCATGCAAAGGAAGTTGACGTAGCGGCACAGGTGCACGTGTACCTTCAGGGCGTCTGGTCCGGGGAAGGGCGCCTGGGCCAACAGCAGCCCCTCCACCTCGTGCAGGGCGCGGCACACCTCCTGATGCTGCGCCTCGGTGAGCCAGTCTCGTCCGGGCTCGGCGAAGAGGTACGCGCAGGCGACCCGCAGGACGTGCTCCAGTCTGGCGCCCCGCGGGGCGGAGGCCCCACGGATCCACCCCCTGGAGAAGGCGTCGAGCTGCGCGGACTGGGCCATGAGGCTGAGCCCGAAGTCGACCCCCAGGTCGAACTCGGCCGCCGCGAGCAGCTGCTCCACTGGCGGGCGGCGAAGGCGGTCCACCTGCAGGCAGCCGAACACCAGATCGAGGGCCTGCGAGGTCGGCAGAACCACCGTCTCGCTCCACGGGGCGCCGTCGTCGCCGCCTGCGGGCGCGGCCGGCGGCGCGGGCTCCACGAAGGGGGGCCAGGGCGCCAGCGCGGAGTGGGAGCCCAGTGCGGTGAGCAGCGTGCCCGGGGGGGCCTCCGCCCGCGGGGGCCCCACGTGCGCCCTGCAGCGCTCCTCGACGGCCGCCCGCAGCGCCGAGCGGTGCCTCGGCGGCACGGCCGCCAGCGGCGAGTAGCAGAAGTGCGCGGGCAGGTCGCGCGGGAGCCGCAGCTGCCCAGGGCGAGGCTGGGGCACCCCCGGGTGTGCCGCGAGGAACTGCGCGAGCTGGTGCTGGAAGCGGGGCGCCTGCTCCCCGAAGAACAGGTGGAAGGCCAGGCATCCGAAGACCCACGAGTCCACCGCCTCCTCCCGCGTCGCTCTCGCCGCGCCCCTGGAGAAGAACTCCGGCGCCAGCGGCTCCTGGCCGCTCCCGCACAGCGACGGCAGCGTGACCAGCGAGGTGCCCATCGGCGAAGCGAAGCGCAGCGAGTGCAGGCGGAGGGATCTCCCATCGCTGCTGAGCAGGAAGTCCCTGAGCCGCAGGTGCCGCGCGACGAAGCCGTGCTTGTGCAGCAACATCATGAGCCCCAAAATCTGCCTGCAGAGGAGCCGGAAGAGGAGCATGCCCCCGTTCAGCCAGTGCTGTCCAAGCCCGCCAGCGCTGTCGACCACGTCGTGCAGGCAAGCCCAGCCCTCGCTCGTCCCCGGCTCCTTGGCGAGCGCGTAGTCGCCCTGGCTCCACCAGCCCAGGAAGTGCGACACGCGCGCCTTCCCCAGCGCCTGGCGGGCGGCCAGCTCCTGCTCCCCCAGCAGGCCCGCGAAGCACTCGGCACTGCGCCCGCTGAGGTAGACGCAGAGCGCCGCCTCCACGACGGTGGCCTTGGACACCCAGGCCTTCGGGACGAGCTCCACCGCCATCGAGAGCATGCCGCTGCCCTGCAGCAGCAGCGAGTCCCCAGGCCGCAGGCCAGACACTAGGCGCCCCACGCCACCCTCGGCGGGCGGCAGCGGCCGGCGCAGCTGCCAGCGCTCCTCGCTCGCGCGCCTGAACTCTGGAGGGCCCTCCAGCACCTCTGGAAAAAACTGAAGCATCGGCCCGAGTAAGCATAGACGTTCGGAGGTCCGCGCGGATTTCTTGGCTCCGCGCTGGACCCCCCCTTCCCTGCCGAGGCGCCGCCAGGGGGGCCCAGCGCCGACTCTAGAAATCCGCGCAGAACAGCGAAAAAGCTGTGTGTGTGTGTGTGTGTGTGTGTGTGTGTGTGTGTGTGTGTGTGTGTGTGTGTGTGTGCCGCTTCTTCTTTTTCGGGCCTCGGCAATCTCGACGCCGGCACTGGTGTCGACGCTCCGGGCACGCCCGGAGAGGCGGAAGACGACCGGGCGCGGCGGGCCCGAGAACTTCACCGAGCCGTGGACCTTGTGGTGCAGGGGGCTCCCCGGCGGCGCAGGCTCCACGGCCTCCACGGCCACCCAGCAGACCTGCGGGTGCGTCGCGCAGTAGGTCTTCCTGGGGAACTCTTCCCCGAGTGAGCTGCCGAACTCCGTCGGGCGGTCATCTGGCAAGCTCTCGAACTCGATGGCGAGGTCCTCGAGCCGAAAGTGCTGGAGGGAGTTCAGGTGCATCGAGATGTCCCTCCTCGCGTCCGCTGCGCCCGGTGCCCCGAGCGCTCCGGCAGCGCAGCCCTGCGCGCCCAATCTAGAGCGCAGCACTCGCTCGGAGACGTGCCGCAGGGCAGCCATCAGCATGTCTGCCACCAGGGCGTGCAGCTCCCTGAGGCGCCATGCGAAGCAGCGGCCGACTGCAGCGGCTGCTCGGCGGCCCAGCAATGTCTGCGCACGGAGAGACGCCACTGCCCCGGCCAGAGCCTGTGCGCACGCAAACGCGTAGCAGAAGACGTTCGCCTCTGCGAGGCACCGCCGTCCAAGGTCAGCGTCCAGGGGTGAGGAGGCGCCTACGAGGAGCATCTTCGGAGTCGCGCTGGCGGCGCTCTTGCAATACTCCGCGAACCTGGGCCCGCTCACAGACCAGTGCATGGCCGCGTCGTCCGAGCTTCCGAGGGGCCGCGACATGTCGATGGGGCCCTGGATCGCGCACTGAACCAGGCGCTCGGCATGCCTCTGCAGGGCTAGCATCAGTGGGCACGTCAGGTCGTGGGCATGAACCGAGGCAGTCAGGGTGGGCGTGAACTTACTCTTGTCTGTGAGAGGCTTCTCCCGGTCCGGCGACAAAAGCAGCGGCGCGAACCGCATGGCCAGCAACTGGGTCACCAGCTCTGCCAGCTCCAGCGCGGGCACCTGTCCTGGCAGCCCCTTGCCCGTCCGGGCCGCTGCCAGCGAAGCCAGGTCTTGACCCCTCGCGACCACCATCCCCTGCAGCTCTGCGGCCCAGAAGTCGCAGACGGCACCCCACTGCCGGCCAGCGCCGGCCACCTCCGCCGCGGGCACCAGGCCCCCGGGGCCCGACCGCCAGAACACCTCGAAGCGACCATAGGGAATGCCTCTGGCCCGCCGCAGGCCGAGGCTGTCGCACGCCAGAGCTCTGAACAGAGACTCGCAGGCTCCCGAGCAGGACTCCCGCTGGTCGGGGTCCAGGGGGGACGCCTCGCATACGTCGTCGCTCGGCGCGTGCCCCGGCCGCCCGGGCGCTGCCGCGGGGCGCTGAGGCGCGGCCGCGCCGCGTCGGGGCAGGCTGCCCGACATGACCTGGAGCATCCGGTCCCGGAAGTGCACGAAGTCCAGGAGGCCCAGCTGGTCATGGTCGAGGTACTCGAAGGCTTCCTCACAGGTGGGGAAGGTCGCGGTCAGCTGCAGGCGCATCCGCTCCGCCCAGTCCGCCAGCCGTGTCCCCGGACACAGTGAGGCATGGTCGACTGGAAAGGGTTGTGGGTCAGAGCTACTGTAAGTGAGAGTGAGGGTGCCGAACGGTCAGCCCCTGGGTACGTGGCTAAAGTGGGGATCCGCGGTGCGGATTCTTGAGCATTCATTTGGAAGAAAGTTGTTCGTTGGTTTACCGAAGATTGACGGACCGTTCTCGTTCGAGCGTAGGCTTTGTTTTCCTTGAAAAAGAGTCACGCGCGAGCGCGGGCTTGAGTCCAAATGTGTTGTTAACGACCCAAATACAATAATTAACAACGGCTCCCGCCTGAGACCTCCTCTTCATTTGTGCAGGTTTCCCGCTCACACTCGAGACTTCCCCTTCTTTCTTCAGGAATCGCGCTCGCAACCGGGACTTCCCCACAACATAATAAACATCTCTTGTAGACAAGCCTACTCCAACAACGCCTCCCGCCGCAATCTATTCAGGACCCCCGCTCCCCCCGAGACTTCCTGACAAAATTTTGCACATGAATCGTGCCCTCGCCAGGGAATTCGTCACAGGCCACTTAGGAAGTACACGCTGGAATGCAAGGCTACAACAACAATGGTTCCCTCGTGAAACTTCCTCGCAAGTTATTCAGCACCCCCGCTCCCGTCCGAGACCTCCTCCCGAATGTATTCCGGCACCGTCCTCCTGCCCCTTGTGGCCTCTGCCCTTGGTAGTCCCTGCCTTTCGCGGCACGGTTCGCTCCTTCCCCGTGTGGCCCCGCACCTGCCTTTCGTGGCCCCTGCCCTTCGAGGCCCCATCGTTGCCCTTTGTGGCCCACCAGCTGCCCTTCGTGGTCCCGCTCGCTCCTGCTCCTCGTGGCCACAAACAGGCCCACGAGGTTTGCCCGCGTGGCGCGACCGTTGTCACGTCGGGGTGCCCACCAAAGTTGGAACCAAAAAGACGCCAATGATGGGGGTCCGTTCACAGACTTAGAGGACGGGTGCGAAAGATAATGAATAACGCATGGACGTCAAACCCGTTTCCTGCATCAAATGGTAATGACATGTTTTCGTGGTCGTCGTCCTCGCCGCCCGCGACCAACCGCGACCAACCAGCGACCCGCCCGCGACGACCCATCCGTGACCGACCCACATTGTTTTCACAAAAGCAATCGGCGCTTGCGGCGGACTCGTTGTGTGGTGTCAAAAATCAGCGCCTGCGGCAGGCGAAATTGGATTCCGAGCCGCGCAGACTGCTGGCGACCCCCCCTTCGACTCGCACCCGCAACCACGGGAATTAGTGTTTTCGCGGGCCCACCGCCCCACGTGCCACATCCAGTTGCATACAGTCCCTAATTTTTGAAACTAGGTCAAGGGGCCACGATCCTGTCGTGAAAAAACAGCGGAGCGGCTCCGCCAGAGCCGCGGCCCCAAAGAAAAAAAAACGAATCCGCGCCCCCGGTACCATGGCCCATTGCGACAGAACGGTGGGTCCGCGCTCCCGAGGCCACGATCCTGCATACAAAGAAAAACCGGCCCACGCATCCTACGCAAAAGACCACAGCCGCCAAGATATCCCAAGATGCCTCCAAGACTGCCCAGGAATGAAAACGCGGTAGTAGCTACGTTCTCTCCTCAGGTGATAAGCCAGCGGGCTGCTATCGTTCTTCATGTCCGAGGGAAACCCAACATCGCAACTCTTGTCCGTACATCGAATATCCAGCCAGCGCGTGCACACTAGATGCTAGACAATTCGGGCGCGCGCGGCCTTGCATGCGCGCTGGGGCGCGTGCGCCTTGAGCCAGCCAAACACGGTTAGACCAGCGAGGTGCACTTTCTTGTGGAACTACCTGCGATGTGCATTCCTGTGGAAACTTCCTGAAATCTACATAGGCGGAAAGACATAAAATCCACAACCGCGCGCGCCCCCCCAATCTAACCCGCACGTTAGCTGGCGGCGCGGCGGGTGTCGCAACGGCCGCGGGCCAGTCGTTCTGCGACGCTCCGTCGAGGTACAGGTGCTCGCATGTCCCAGCGACCCGGGCGGCTTGTAGTCGGAGTAGCTCGAATCTGCGTTGCGGGATGTGCCGTCGTTGAGATTCCGACGCTGCGAAATCTAACTCAGCGAACCGTCGGACGTCCACAGTGTCTGCCGTCGCGCCAGCGTTGGGGCTGAGGGGGCCCGACGTGCGCCCCTGGCTCCGCGCCTCTGCCTGCTTGTCCCATGCTGCGTGCTGCCGCCAGACCAGCGGCGAAATTGCGGCCGGGACTGGTGGTCGCACCGTCGGATCGCTGCAGGTTCAGGCTTTGGATAGCTTTCTGGAGCTGCTGACATTCCCCCGACGGGGCCCTGGCTCGCCGCTGGCTGCGCGGGCAGGGCAGGCGATGGCTGAACTGGTGCCCCCGTTGGGCCCCGAAGTGCAGGTGCAGCCGTGTGTCGGAAGCGACTCCACTGATCACGATGTCCCTTGCGAGGTTGGCGTTGCCGTGGTGGTGCGTGCGCAGCTACGCGCATCCGTGGGTCCCGCTCGTTGACGTTGTCCCTGACCACGACAAGGTTCGAGGCGGAGTGGGCCGATCCTTGCTCGCCAGGAAAAAGCCGCCAAGCCCGAGGCGGCGCCTAAAGCGGCAGTCGGCGGCAATCGATATGCGGCCCACGCTTGACACGTTGTCCACGGTCGCGATATGCAGCGGCTGCTCTGCGTTCTGGCTATGGCAGGAGTCAGTCGGTCATTGGCAGGCGCTCGCGGGCCCGCGTCGACAGCGACGCGCGTCAGCGGGGGCTCGCGCAGCATGACTTGGATGCGGCAGCTGGCGCGCAGCTCTGAGCATTGATTGTCACAATCCATTCGTGCCGTTATTAGCGGGACATCTTGCGGTCGAGGTGGTTCGATGTCGATATCGGCTAGCTTTGCGCGCGCGCCGCCGGCGCTGCACCTGCCGCATGTTGCGGCGGCGCCGGCGCGAGCCGACGGCCCCGCTGGCGGGGCGGCGGGGCGGCGTCGCGCGCGGCGCCATGCCTGCCATGGCGCTGACACGACGGCGGTGGGTCCTGCGAAATTGCATGGCCGAGCGGTGGTTGAGACTGCGTCAGCGCCAGAGGAGGTGCATTTCTAGCCTGCGACAAGGGGGCTTTCAGCCCCCCGTCGCTGGGCGCGGCGAGACGCGCTCAGGTGGCGCGGGCGATCTGGCGGCTCAGTCCACCCCGTGATATGCCGCGTCTATTTCCAATGCGTCGAGCATTGCCGCCGTCGAGATGGCCGCGCGGGTCTCCTCGATCAAAATCAGCGCGCGCGGGCGCTGGCCCCGACGGCGGCGCCGCCCCTGATCTAGAAGCCCGCGCCATTGAGCGCGTGCGTGTGCGCGGCGACTGCTGGGTCGCAGGCGCTGTGTTCGACAGCTGTCGCGCGGGCGTCGGTCTCGGTCCTCGTGGCGATGCGGCGGGGAAATGGCGTGCGCGGCGCAGTCTGCCGTCGCCGAGCAGCTCTCCGTCGCTCGGCGCCTCGCGCGAGCGTTTGACCTCGCAGTGGTCGCGCGGCTCTCGCACGGCGCGATGGATCTCGGCGCCATCAGTGCCGATGACCGAATAAACGCGGCGATGGCCATGTGATCCGAAAGGAGGCGCTAGGCACGCGCCGTCGCGCGCGGACAGAAATAAAGCGAAGCGGGGCAGGGCCTGCACGCTGGTGCCTCATGCGATGCGTCCGAGATCATGTCCTTATCCGATGACATCGGGATGGGCCCGACTAGTTGTGTGCTTTCTCTGGTCGAAAGCCTTCTCGCAAGCAAGCTGACTGTCATGCTTGGCACTGGGCGATGGATTTATTCTGCCAATGATGATACAAATGCCCCGTCTGGTTGCAAGCGGGCAACATGTGCCAAGAGCGCAGCCAAGCTCGTCCGTTCTCGGACCGGTCGCGCTGGCGCGTTAGCCGCTTCGGAAACTTTTGGCTCCGCCCGCGACCCGCCCGCCAAGCGCTGACTGTCGAGTGCGCCCCAGCATCCGCTTTATCGAGCGGTGGCGGTGGTTATGTAAACGAATGCGCCTCGTAGCGTGGAACTAATTGGCCTTCGTGATTGCGACCGCGCTGGCTTCCGTCTGCGAAAAGCGAAAACATGGCAAACCCAGATGCCCATCCGTCTCCTGTGTCTCCTGTGATTGTATCTTCGCCAGTGGCGAGGCGCGCGCACCATGCACCCGGGTGAGCTGACCGACTGGAAACGATCACTGGTCGTGCTGGAACAATGTCTAGGTTGCAGGAACAGCTGGCTTCGGGGCGACACAAGATGGTCTCGCATCTGCCTCGGCGAGCGCAGGGTGGTTTGTTTTTTTCTTGAAGTAGGCACGCGGCCCATTACAAGTGCTGCCGTAGGACCTGTGGCCTTTGTTCGGTGAAGCGTACTGAAGTCGGATCCGATCACGTCGATTGTGGCGCGGCTGCGGTCATTAGGCATATCCGATGCTCCTTCCACCGTTGTCCGATGACGACCGGCGTGTAATCAGCGTGGTTATGGTGCAGCGGGCGCACCTGCCCTGAAAGACCCACCCACGCCGCGCCATATGTAGTGCACACATCGGGTGGGATGTCCAGGGCCCCCGATGTACACGACGTCGTCTCTTTCCCTTGAATTGAATATGTCGTTCGTCGGCCGCCAATTCTGGCTGCATGTGTTGTGTTATTGTCGTCTTCACTTGGCGGTGCTGATGCTGATGAATGCGGTGCGGGGTCGCTCGCTGCTGCTGGTGTTGAATCGACCCTTTGTGATCCCCGTTCCAAATTTCCGCAATGTGGTGACGCCTTTGGTTGCCTGTCCTTGCCGTGCTCAGATCTGGCAGATCTGTCATGACGAGATGTCGAATTAGTCGGCGGATGTGAATGTAAGCAGTCCCCAATGGCGGAGCCGTGGACGAAATGGTGATATCACAAGGGACGAATATTTGGTGTGGACAAGCCATGGTGAATGGAACGTGCGTCCCTCGCTGAATTCTGATTTCCACTGAGGTGGTCGCTGGCACAAGCGAAGTCAATACTGTCGTGCCACGTTCATAACGCGCTGGTGTGAGATCGATGCCCCAATCATCCCCATCATGGTCAAGAATCCGTGTCCTGGCACATGCGCTCACGCTATGTTTCAACGCCTATTGCGAAATCACGTTGGCATACGCATACCCCCTTGCCACTGCGACGTCGTGCGTGAAGGCGTTCGTGGTGAGGTATTCGAATGCGGCCGTCAGGCTGGTGGTCACCACGGCGCGAGCCGGACTGGCGATAACTGCCAAAGTGGTGGACCGCGCAGTTCCGCCTCCGAGTCGAAAGCGCGGTGGTCGCTACGCTTCTCTCTGGGCGATAAGGACGGCTCTGCAGACCGATGCGGGACAGAGATGGTAACTCTCGTCCGCAAGCAATATATAAAGCCTGCTCCTGTACACTAGACGCTGGCCAAACAGGATGCGCGCGACTTTGTGTGCGCGCTGGGACGCGCGCGCCTTGAGACAACAATGCAGCGGGATAGATGCGCGAATTATCATTCCTCTTGAAGCTTCATGAGCACGACACACCTTTGCCACACATAGTGTGTGCAACGTCCGTTCGTGGACACTAAAGCAGGGACGGTGCGCGCGGCCTGCTGTGCACGCTGGAGCGCGTGAGCCTTGAGCCATCAGGGCAGCGGGATCGATGAGTGAATTGGATCCCCCTTCAAGGACCAAGTGTAGTCCGAGATGGCTCCAGAGCGGATCAAGACAGCCCCAGAGGCCCCGAAGACGGACCCCCAGCAGAGCCAGAGGTTGCCAGCATCACAACTTCCCCCCCCCCCCCCGAACTCGACCACCCCCCCCGCCCCCCAAAAAGAGTTTAAAAGAGTTGGGCGCCTTCACCTTTTCTGGCCTTCCTTCAGCTCCAGGCGGCCCTAAAGGTCTCCAAGGTGGCCCCAAGACGGTCCACGAGGGCTCCCAAATAGGCAAAGAATCCTCCAACGCGGCCTCGAGATATCCCAAGAGGACCTCCAGAGGGACCGACGATGGCGTAAGAAAGCCCCTCGATAACCAAAGACGGCCCCACGACAACACCACGACGGCCGAAGAGACCCCCCAGACGGCCAAGAAGGCCCCAAGACGGCCCAAGAGCGCCCGCAAACTGCCCAAGACGACATGTGTCACATGTGACGGCCGTCCTCGTCCTCCTCTCCGTCTTCCTCATCACCATCATCATCACCATCAACGCCATCATCACTAACATCATCGTCATCAACATCACCACCACCATCATCGCCAGCAGCATCATCATCAGCATCACCATCATCACCATCATCATCATCATCATCATCATCATCATCATCATCATCATCATCATCATCATCATAATCATCATCATATTCATATTCATCTTCATCATCATCATCATCATCATCATCATCATCATCATCATCGTCATCATCATCATCATCAGCAATGTCACCATCCTCATCACCATCATCATCATAATCATTATCAGCAGCATCATATTCATCACCACCATCATCTTCATAGTCATCATCATCAGCAGCATCAGCATCACCACCATTGTCATCATCATCATCATCATCATCATCATCATCATCATCAACATAATCGTCGTCATCATCACCCCCACCATGACCATCATCAACATCAACGTCACCATCATCATCATCATCATCATCATCATCATCCGCAAAAGCAGCATCGTCATTAGTATTCCCACCACCATTATCGGAATGAGCGTCATCCGCATAATCATCATCGTCATCATCATAATCGTCATCATCACTATCAGCATCATCACCATCAACATCATCATAATCATCATCACCATCATCACCGTCATCTTCATCGTTATCGCTATCGTCATCGTCATCGCCATGATCGTGATTACGATCATGATCATGATCATCATCATCACCATCATCATTACCAGCAGCAACATCATCACCATCATCATCATCATCATCATCATCATCATCATCATCATCATCATCATCGGGAGCAGCAGCAGTAGCAGCATCATCATCGTCGCCACCACAACCACCACCATCCTCAGTATCATCATCACCATCATGGTCGGCATCTTGCTCGCCCGCCAGCCCTCCTGCTCATCTTCTCCTAATCTATCCCAGTAGCATCATGATCATACTCACCCTCGTACTCGCTTCCAAAGGTGGAACGACGCGGAAGAGCACGTCAGATGTTACAGTCTTCTCCAGCCTCGGGGCACACGGTGCCACGCGTTACGGTTTCCAGTCAACCGCCACTCAAGGTCATGGGCTGGCGCTGTGGCGGGACGTGCCGCAGGCAACTGGATAATCTGCCTCCGCCCCAAACGTCGTAGTCGGCTGGGCCATGTCACGCAGCAGGCGCGCGACGTCGACGCCGCCTCCGACCGCGTGCGCCGAGACGAGCGCGTGGGCATCCTCCGCGCTGAACGACAGCGGGGGAGCCCGCAGCACCGCTTCGAGCCGCTCCGCCGGCACGCTGCTGCAGGCGCCGCCCGCGGGCGCACCGGGCGTGCCCCGCACTGGCCTCCCGAGGGCCACGGAGCGAGGCAGGTCGATGCCGGCGCCGATGGGGGGCCAAATGCGAACCCTACCCCTGCCCCCCACGATTTTTGAGGGGGAGGGTGGGGTTCGCTTCGCTCGGGAGCTCCCGAACGAGGTGAGCCCCACCCTCCCCCTCAGAACTCGTGGGGGGTAGGGGTAGGGTTCGCATGCAGCCCCCTAGCTGAGGAGCCTCCGCCGCAGCCTCTCCAGCAGGCCGCTCGGCGTGCTGCGCTCCCTCTCCCCGGGGCCCGCTGCCAGCGGACCCCCGGCCGCGTCCTCCGAGGCCCGGAAGCGCTGGGCGGCGTCCAGCAGCCCCTGCACGCTCGCGAAGCCGTCCGCGTTGAAGGGTGGCTGGTCTGGGAAAGCGCGCCGCAGCACGTCTGCGTCCTCGGGCTCCAGATGAACGCCCAGGGGCGAGAGCGCCGCATTGAGCTGCCGCAGGGAGAGCAGGGGTGGCGACGGCGGCAGCACACTGGATAGCACGGCCACGTCCCACGACACGCTCTGCAGCAGGCGGCGAAGCAGCACCTCGGCGCGCAGCTTCACGCCCGTCTGCGAGGCCTCCGCCTGCTTCCGAGGCCCCGTGGCCCTGGTGCCGGCGCCGTGGCCCTGCCGCAGAGCGCGGATGGTGCTTCGCTGGCCACCGGCCGCTTGCCCCTCGGCAGGGGACGGGTCCAGCCACCAGCGTCGCGCCTCCGTGGCGGAGCCGGAGGTCAGCGCCAAGATCAGCAGGTCGGCCTCGGTGGGCTCCGTGCCGTCGGCGAAGAGCCCTGCGCCCGCGACCGCGGCCCGCACCTGGGCCACCGTCGGGGTACCATCGTGCACCGTGGCCCCTCGCCTGGCCAGCTCCGCGCGCGCCGCGGCCTGGTCGGGCGCAGCGGCCCGCAGGAACGCGTCCGCGGCGATGCGGTCGAGGCGCCGTGGATCGAGCATGTCGAGGAGCTGCTCCAAGTCCGCCTCTGATGTCGCCAGGCCCATCGAGCACAACCCCCCGACAACGTCTCTCCGCGTGAGGGTGGCGCGCGATGCGTCTTGAAGCACCGAGCCCGCCGCGGCGCTTGCGCCGGCGGGTCCATGATGTGGCGACTGACTTGCCGAAGGCATCCCCGATGCATCGCGTCCGCGCCCCCGCAGCAGCACCGCCAGCGCCTGCGAAGCCGAGACGCCCTGCGACCGCAGCCTGTCCTGCAGCCGACGCGCTGCCAGCATCCGTCCGCCATAGGCGCGAGAAGCTGTCACCGCCGCCGCGTGTGCGATGGGAACGCGGCTACCAAAGCCGGACGGGGCGGGCTGCGCCACGGCCTTGAGCCAGGAGAAGATCTCCTGCTCCGAGGCCACGAGGCCGAGCTTCGCAAAGATTTTCCGCGCCGCCGCCTCCGAAAGCCACGTAGCCGTCTCGCTGCCTGCCAGGTCCTCGAGAAAACTCTCCAGCGGGGCCCCGCGAACTGTGCAGGCAACCTTTCTGCGGCAACTCATGGGAGCCTCCCATACCATCTTCCTGGCTCTTGCGAATCGACACTCGTAGACGCTAGTCGACGCTAATCGACGCTACGTCGACGCAAATCGACGCTAAGTCGGCGCTATCCAATCGAGTACCAAGCGCTCATCGACGCGACCACTCTAAGCATGGAGGTACCCGGGTATGCAGTGCTCCCGTGAGATGTCACCGAGCAACCTCCAGGCGGCTGAACACGGAGTCCCATCCGATCGCAGTGGAGACGCGGAAGAGCTGCTGCCATGCTCTCTCCTCAACGGCTGCTGCGGCGTCGGCGCCCAGCTCTCGCCACAGCATGCTCTGCTGCGCCGGGTCCAGCCGCAGCCCGAGGTGCGCCAGGAGCTCGGGCAGCGCGGCGCGAGGCAGCCTGCCACCCGCCGCGAAGCGCCGGAAGACGTGCACCAGCGTGGGATCCGAGCGGTGCAGGTGCTGGCTGACGGCCCGCACGACGTCCGCGCCAGACGCGCCCTCCGCGAGGATCGCCACCTCCGCCCGCCGGGGCGGGCCCGACCCGGCTCGACGCATCGAGGTCCCCACGGTCTCCGAGCCAGGCGTCCCGGAGTGCTCGCGCTCCAGCGCCGGCCTGAGGACCTGAAGGCCTCCTCCAGAGGGGGTCCGAGTGCGCAGGGGGGGGCCGGCGGACTGCACCGAAGCGCCGAGGCGAGGCATCGCCGAGGCATCGGCGAGGCATCGGCGATGTCGGCGTGGAGGACTCGGCCTCCACATCGAGGCGCATCGAGCCGATGCCTCGTCGAAGCGGCGCGGCCCTCCGTCACCATCCACAGTGGCCCCGTACCAGCAGGGCGCACGATGAGGATGCAAGGGCCTTGGAGGACCGTGTCGGCCCTGCGCCGGCGGCGGGCGGCCAGCAAAAGCGGCCAAGGATGGACCGAGGAGGTATGGTGGGGTCAAGTCGGGCGTGTCCCCCTACCGGGGGATTGTCGACGCAAGATTAGCCTGGCGAAGGACCCAACCATATGCAGTTGTGAGTACCGCAATTATGAATATCTTCTTCGGTGGAGCTCCCTATGGGGCCACGAAGCGCTGCACTGGGTGGGTGAAACGCAGGGAGCAAGGGCTGTGCTGGGTGGTGGCTGACGCATGCGGGCGGTGCCACTGAGACCTTCGGTGGAGCTCCCTATGGGGCCACGGAGCGCTGCACTGGGTGGGTGAAACGCAGGGAGCAAAGGCTGTGCTGGGTGGTGGCGGACGCATGCGGGCGATGCCACTGGGACCTTCGCTGGAGCCCCCTATGGGGACACGAAGCGCTGTACTGGGTGAGTGAAACGCAGGGAGCAAGGGCTGTGCTGGGTGGTGGCTGACGCATGCGGGCGGTGCCACTGGGACCTTCGGTGGAGCTCCCTATGGGGCCACGAAGCGCTGTACTGGGTGGGTTAAACGCAAGGAGCAAGGGCTGTGCTGGGCGGTGGCCGGCGCATGCGGGCGGTGCCCGTGGGACCTTCGGTAGAGCTCCCTATGGGGCCACGAAGCGCTGTACTGGGTGGGTGCAACCCCTGGAGGATGGGGAGGAGGGCCACGACACGCTGTACTGGGTGGGGGGGACGCATGCGGACGGTAGACCTGGAACCTTCGGTGGAGCTCCCCATGGGGCCACGAAGCGCTGTACTGGGCGGGGGGGACGCATGCGGACGGTAGACTTGGAACCTTCGGTGTAGCTCCCTATGGGGCCACGAAGCAATGTACTGCTGCACTGGGTGGGGGGGACGCATGCGGACGGTAGACCTGAAACCTTCCGTAAAGCTCCCTGTGGGGCCACGAAACGCTGTACTGGGTGGGTGAAACGCAAGGAGGGTGGGGAGGAGGGCCACGAACCGCTGTACTGGGTGGAGGGGGACGCATGCGGACGGTAGACCTGCCTTCGGTGGAGCTTTCTATGGGGCTACGAAACGCTGCGCTGGGTGGGTGAAACGCAGGGAAAAAGGGGAGGAGGGAAGAGGAGGGGGAGGAGGAGAGGAGGAGGAGAAGAGGAGGAGGAAGAACGCGGGGACCGTCTCTTCAAAACGAGGACCCAACACCACAGGATGGCTGGGGAAAAAAATGCCCCAAAACATGCTCCCCGAGTGCTCAAAAACACTCGAAAAATAGTCCCCATACTATTTCTGGAATATTTTTGAATATGAATATTCCTCCTGTAGATGTCCAGGCCCGACTTAACAGTATACTGTTAAGTCGGGAGGTTTCTTGTGGTCGGGCCCCTATAGGGGCCCGACCACAAGAAACCTCCCGCAAGAAACCCGACCCTGAGACCCTGGGACGTCCACGGATGTCCGGCGTGGGGGCGTCGTCCTCTCCGTCGCAGAACCATCGAAACCCAAGCAACCCAGGGCACGCTGGAGGCAAGCAGGACGTGTCTTGGCATGGGTCTAGGACCCGCTACAAGGGGATTTTGGATGAAAAGTGTCAAACGTAAAAAAATACGCAAAAATAGACACAAAATACTTCAAACAATCGTCCCCTCACTGCTTTTGGACTACTTTTGAATATTCCTCCTGTAGAGGGACGCGCCCGACTGCAGTCTTGGCATGGGTCTCCACTTTAGCTGCCTTGGTACGCCCGTCTTGATACGCAACACGCACCGTGCTCAAAACGTCCGTGTCGATACGCTGCGTATTGTCTCGACGTATTGGCCCACGTTCTGGCGAACGCATCACGTCAGACCTACGCTTCCAGTCTACGCGCGGACCTCCGTAGCAATACGCTACGTGTTGCGGGCTGCGTACCGGGGCAGGCAGGGTCTCCACCTTAGTGGGCCCCGGAAACGGCAGGGCCGATTCTTCACCGTTTCCCAAAAAATGTCCCTTGAAAATGGAAACGGCAAAAAAACGGCGACCAGAAACGGCAACAAAACGGCTCCAGGAGTGGAGCTGGAGCCGGACCCGGTCAAGAAACGGCGGCGACGGAACCGGTAACAAAACGGCGGCGTCGGAACCGGCAACAGAAACGGCGAAACGGAACCGGTAACAAGAACGGCCCTGTCGTTTCCAGGGCCCACTGAAGGTCTCCACTGCGCTCGGACTCCACCCGGGAGGCCCCGGGGGGACCGCCACGAGGCCGCGGTACGTGGCCGTCGCGTCGCGCGGGGGCGTCTCGCCTGCAGGGGCGGGAGCGCCCTGGCCCGCGTTGCTCCCACTATACAGTCGAGGCGTTGATCTAAGAAGCCCTAAATCAGGAACGAGGCCCCTTTTTTCCATAAGCTAAACTTCGACTTCCGATCGAAGACGTAAGGAAACCCTGAGGCAAGCTGTGAAACACTGAAGGGACGCGGAGCCCCTCCCCCACCAAAAGGGTTCCTTCTTCAGGGCCCCGAATGTACTTAGGGACCGTATCCCGGAGGTAATTTCGAGCACCCAGGAAAGTGTCGAAACAGTGTCGCGTGAGTATCGCCGCCCAGGGCCCGACACGTGAACACCCTCAAGTTTCGATACTTTCCTGGTGCTCGAAATTCTTCCTGGTGTAAAATAGGTTGGAACATCGTAAGCCCAGGCTCGAATCGAGGAGTCGGATCGGCAATCGAAATCGATCGGATCGGTGGACATCGGCAGCCACGTCGGGAGAAGTCGAATCGGCAGAAATCGGTAAGCGACTCAGGCCTCCATGGAGACGCCGAGGTCCCAGTCGGAATCCGAAGGCGAATCGCACTGGGATCGGACCCGATCGCAAACGACCCGAGTCGAGTCGGAGGAGTCGACGGGAGTCGTGCCTGCAGGGGGCGCGGCGCTGCACCGTTCCACCGCCGCCGCGTGCAGGGCGCGCGCCTCCTCCGGAGAGATGCCGAGGCGGAGGTCGGCTGCGGCACGGACCATGTCGGCCTGCGTGACGGCGCCCCTGCCCGCGGCGTCCACCTCCTTGAAGAGCGCCTCTCGAGCATCGTTCGGCCGATCCCCATCCTCGCTGGCGTGGCTTGGGCCCCACCGGCCGAGGTGCCCCCCGGGATGGAAAATTGGCTGCTTCCTTCGGGCTTCCAGGGGCTACACTGAAGTCGGGCGTGTCCCCCTACAGGGGGATTTTCGACGAAAGATAACAGATATTCAAGAAATACTCCCAAATGCTTAGAAAATCCTCGAAGAATAGTCTCCAGACTATTTTTTAAACTATTTTTGAATTCCCCCTGTAGGGGGACAGGCCCGACTTAAGGCTACACCGAACTGGGGTGGTGGGATGGTGGGGAAACACCATTGCCTGGTGAAGCTGGGGGAAGCTTCGACGATGCTGGCCTCTGGCGTCATCCCGCGGCTGCCGAGGTGGCGGGCGACTCGGCCCACGATGGAGGAAAGCCAGAGGCCTCGGCCCTGCAGCGACCCGCTCTTCAGCGGGAACACCTGCTCGAACTGGAAGAGGTCCACTGCCTCGTCGCTGGCGCGGCCGTCGCTGGGCAGCGAGCGCATGAGCTGGAAGACCTCCCTCGCCTGCTGCAGGGACACCGCGGGCGAGGCCAGCCGGAGCGCCAGGCAGAATCGGTCCTCGTACAGGAGGCCCGTCCTCGAGGCGTCCAGGCAGGCAAAGGCCTCGAAGGGGGTGAGCTGCTGCGCCTCGAAGTCTGCGGCGAGGGCCACCAGCGTGGCCGCCAGGCCGGGCCCCCCGCTCTGGAGGCGCGGCAGCAGGCCCGCGGGGATGTGGCGTGAGGCCGCGGCCGTCAGGCCAGGGCTCGCCTGGCCGTGGCCGTCCGGCGGGGCTCCGCGGCCGTCCGGCGGGGCCCCGCGGCCGTGCGGCGACAGCGCGCGGGCCACGGCGGCGGCGCCCCTGGACGGCGCGGGGCCCTGGCCTGGCGCGAGCGCCCAGTCGGCGGCCGTCCGGGCGGCCGCCTCGCGCTGCGAGAGCGCCGCCGCGCCCTGGTGGACCTTCCTCTCCACGTCCGCTAGCGTCACGGACCCCCTGCGCCCCGTGTCCAGCTCCCGAAAGGCCGCGCCGGCCAGGTCGCGGCCCGTGGCCAGCGTCAGGTCGGAGGCGCCGAGCGGCCTGTGCAGCAGCCTCGGCGAGCGGTCGCTGCGACCTGGAGGGCCGCTGCCGCTGTCGCCGTCGCCGGGCTGGCGGGCGCCAATCGAGATGCCCAGGCGGTCTATGGCGTCGAGGAACAGCCGGCGGGTCACCTCGACCGTCGAGCCGTCGCTGGGCGCACCAGCGGGCTGCAAGAAGACGTCGCGCCGCAGATCCAAGGCCCTGTCACGGAGCGAGGCGGCCACCAGCTCCCAGAGGTCGGACACGCCAGCGGGGGGGGGCAGGCCATCCTGGTCCGAGTCCTGGTCCTGCGCGGGCGCCGTGCCGACGCCAGCGTGCCTGCCGAGCAACAAGCCCAGGCGTCGCACGGCCGCCCTGTAAGGGACGAGCCCGTCCCCCCGCAGGTCCGCGAACTCGCCGAGGGCGGATCGCTCCGGGTCGCTGAGGATCACCCGGACGCGGGCGATCGCGGCCAGGAACGCCTCGATGGGCAGGGTGCCGAACCCAGGCCCGTCCGCCTCCTGTGGAGCCAGATGGGGCCGGAGCAGACGGGGTCGGAGGATCACGCCGACATCGCCGCTGCATCGCCGATGCGTCGGCGTGGAGAAAACCGGGCTCCACATCAAGCCGAGGAGAACAGCTGTCGTGTTGGGCGGAAGGGGTTGGGAGGATCAAGGGCATGAGCAGTAGCCTTCCGATGCAGTGAACGATACCTTCGGCCGCCTACGGGCAATGATCATCCCCAGTTCTCCCAACCCCATCCTCCCAACCCGACAGCTGTCTTCATGACGAGCCGCATCGCCGACGCATCGGCGACGCGGCGCGGCCCGCCGACCCCGTCTGCTTCCAGCCCGTTGGGTTAGGTCGGGCGTGTCCCCCTACGGGCGGACTTTGGGCGAAAAACTGCAAATACGAAAAACAAAAGTACACCCGGAGACTCAAAACAGACTCCAACAAAATCGTCCCCAGACTATTCTTGGACTCTTTGTGCACCTTCCTCCTGTAGAGGGACGGGCCCTGGCCATCGCTCGGACGTCCATTCCCTGTGTTTTTGTTCGGTTCCGTGCGTGGTCTTTTCGCCCATTGATCAAGGATGCTCCTCGCTGGTCCTCGCCGAAGGAAAAAGGCACACGTCCGAGCGATGCCAAGGGCCCGACTTGCCTGTTGGGGCGGCCCGGATCCTGACAGCCGCCCAGCACGGCCTCCCGGGCGCCGTACACCAGCTCCGCGGCCGACCGCAGCGACCCCTGGCGGCCGTCCGCCCCCCGGCACACGGCGTGGGCGACGGCCTCCGACAGCCCGCGCACGTCCACGGCCCCGCCCTGGCCTGCGGCGCCGTGCGCCTCGGCGACCAGCGGCCACGCGCGGGCCCCCAGCTCCGGGAGCCGCTCCAGCTCGGGGAACAGCTCGCGCGCCCGAGCGAGGAACGGGGGCAGGGCCGCGGTGGCGCCGAGAGCCTCGGTCAGGGAGAGCTGCCGGTCCTGCTCGGCATCGCCGGCACCCGCCAGGACCTGGATCGCCTTCTGGACCAGGCCGGCGCGCCCGGCGTGCAGCTTCCGCAGGAAAGCCTTGGCGCTGGTGACCCCCGCGGGCCCTGCACCCTCTACGGTGTCGAGGTGGGCCGCGAGGACGCTCAAGCTCTCGTCGGAGAGCACCACCCCCGCAATGCTCCTCGCGACCACGCCCAGGTCCGCGTGGGAGATGGCCTCGTATCCGAAGAGCCGCGGGCTGTGTGTCGCGCCGCGCACGCCAGGGACTCCCGCCCACCCGTACGGGCTGATGAAGTCCTCTGAAGGGGCCCCGAGACACACACACACACGCACACACACACACACACATACATACACACATCTGCACACAAAGAACCGGATTCCCCACATGTTCCCATAGTTTCTGGGTCTGTGTCCTCCCCCCCCACACTTCCCATCTTTTCCTATATTTTCCTGGGGGTCGACGACTCATTGTGTCTGTGTGTTTTCTCCCCTCCCGATCCTCGTGCGGGAGGAGCCAGGCGCCCTCGTCGCCCGCCGGGGGCACCAGCATGCCGCCGCAGAAGAGCGCCAGCAGCCGCACCACGGCGCCCTGGGGGGCGCTCCGCGCCAGCAGCTCGAGCACGCCCCCGGCGGAGCGGCAGGCGGCCAGCGCCTCCAGGAGGGGCCCGTAGTGCACCAGGTCCTTCCCCGCGGCGCGCGCGTCGTGGTGCAGCGAGGCGAGCCTGGCCGTCAGGCGGTCGGCGCAGGCGCAGCGCAGCGCCGCCACCTGGAGGAGCAGGACGCGGCACTCTGACATCCAGCTGCTCCCATCGCACTCCAGGACCACATCCCGAACAGAATTTCGAGCACCCAGAAGAGTATCGCAACAGCGTCGAAGGACTATCGCCTCCCAGGGCAAAGCACGTGAAAACCCACCAGTTTCGGTACTTTCATGTTGCTCGAAACTCTTTCTGGCGGTCAAGGCTAAAGTAGGTTAGAACATCACAACTTCAACATCATTTCTTGGTGTTCCGCGCGGGTTTGTTTCTCGGATCGGCGCTGGATCCCCACCCTGGCGCGCGGAGCGCGCCAGGGGCGGCGCCGCAGGCGCCGCATGGAGACGAAGGCGCTACAGGTATGTGCTTGACCCCAAAAAAGGCTCCTAACCCTTTGGGAGGGGACCTAAGGCCTAAGGTAGGAGGGCCAGGAACATGAGGGATTAGGGGGTCTGGTCTTTTTTGCAGGTGTATCGAACCAAACCGCCCAGAACTATTATCTCTAATGCGACGACGGGGACCTCAGTGAGGATACGTCCTCCTCGTGTGATTGGGTCAGGGGTCGTTCTTCCTCCATGAACACGGGCGCTGGTTGTCGGACCCCAGAACGCGCCTTCGTTCGAGCGGGGGCCACCATCTGACAACACACATCCATCGGGAGCGGCCAAGAGGGGGGTGTCCAAGAGGGGGGGGTACAAATCATGACCAGCGGCATGAGCGCGGCCCAGCGGGGGGGCCAGGGACGTAATGAAACAAGAAGAGGCGCCATGAGATCTGGGGAAATACCATAGCCCCCGCCATGATGTCCACCCCCCCCTAGTCATCACCCCCCTCTTTTCCGCCCCCGAACCCGTCGCTCCCCACCAAATGTCACCCCGAGAAACCTAAGGGTCGAAGGAGGAGGGAGGGAGGAGGGGGAGGGGGAGGAGGGGGGAGGGGGAGGAGGAGGAGGAGGGAGGAGGAAGGAGGAGGAGGAGGAGGAGGAGGAGGAGGAGGAGGAGGAGGAGGAGGAGGAGGAGGAGGAGGGGTCGTATAGGTATGGGTGCCGGGTGTCAGTTCATGGTCCCTGGCGCCGCCAGGGGGGCCCGGTGCCGATCCAAGACATCCGCGCGGACATCCAAGACATCATGTTCATGCCGTATTCGAAGAGGCCAAGGGACGCACAAATACATACACATACACACACACACACATCCCAGGATTCCCCATGCTTGTCCACATCTTCTAGAGTTTCGCCTTCCCCCCCCCACTTCGCCAATTTTCCCATATATTCCTGGGAGTCGCCGATTGATTATGTCTGTGTGCATTTTCCCTCCTGAGTTTTTGGCTCCCCGGGCCACCAGCCCCGAGACTTCTGCGACCCCCCTGCCAGCGGGGTCCAGCCGCCCCAGCGCCTGCTGGAGCTCCTGGCTCCGGCCCGCCAGCGCGCGCGCGACCTCGTCCGGCCCGAAGAGGAGGCGCAGGAGGTCGGAGGCGGAGTAGACGCTGCCTCGCAGGGCGGGCTTCAGCACCTCCAGGAGGGCCTGCCATGTGGAGGCATCCGCACCCTATGCTCCTCCACCTTCCTCCTCCTCCTCCTCTTCCTCCTCCTCCTCCTCCACCTCCACCTCCTCCTCCTCCTCCTCCTCCTCCTCCTCCTCCTCCTCCTCCTCCTCCTCCTCCTCCTCCTCCTCCCCCACCAACCATCGCTTCTCCTGAATCGAATTGGGAGGCGGGGGTAGGGCTCGGAGTTCGCCGCCGAGCCTTCTTGTTCGCGGTGCAGAGTGGGACCCCGCACCGAGCGAGCGTGCGCACCACGGTGCCCTCGCTCACGGCATCGCCACCCCAGTCGTGCCTGGCTGCCTCGCCACGGCCCTCGGCCAGGCTCTCCTTGGGCGTTGTGTAACGGGCGGGCGGTGGACCCGGGGGCGAAGAAGCCTGCACCTTTGGTGCCCCTTTTGAGCCCCAGAGGGCCCCTTGAGGGCCCCGAAGGATCACGGACGACGAGCAGCACAAGGGGCAGCCGCATGTGGAGCGGGAAGCAGCAGTGGATCAGCAAGAGGGACCATGACAGAGCCCCCCCATGACACAACGCCCGATCTCCACGAGCGCGAGCCCCGCCGGGGCCGCGCCGATCAGGTCGCGCAGCGCTGCGGGGGTCGTGACGGCCCCGGCGCTGGCGAGCCTCTCCGAGACGGCGCGGGCGAGGGCTGCCTCGGGGTAGCCGAGCCCCAGGAGGTGGTCCGTGAGCAACTCCTGGGCGTCTGGTGCCATCCCGAGCCTGCTTAGCCCCTCGGAGACAGCTCCCACCGACGATGCACCAGCGCCCGAGGCCGCCACCGCGTCGTCGAACTGGGCGCGGGCGGGGGCGATCTTGAGCGGGGCCTTCCGGTCGATTGCCAACTTCTTCGCACGAGCCACGAAATCGTCCACGCACTGCTTGTACGGCAGCACCCCCGCGCCATGGAGGACGCTGAACACCACGGGCGCGTCGGCGCTCGTGCTCTTGTACCCCATGTCCAGAGGCTTGGGCAGCGGTAGCAGGATGCTCTGGCCGTGCGCCTCCAGGACCTTGAGCCTCTTCGCCTCCTCCAGCACCTCGCCGAGAGATCCCCGTGCGCTCCACTCGATCCTGCTGACGCTGCCGCCGCCGGAGCTCACGATGCCAGCCCCCAGCGCTCCGCGGCTCCCGCGGACGACGTCGGAGAGCGCCACGCCTCCCTCCAACGGCGCCGCTGACCACTGGTGGCTCCCCGCAGCGGCAACAGTGCGGCCACACCTCAGGCCCCTTTCCCTCCACCTCTGGATGGTCTCCTGCTGGTCCTGCGCCGCCGGCGGGTGCCAGAAGCGACGTGCCCTGTACGCGTGCAGGAAGTTAAGCGTTCCGCTGGGCGCCTTCCAGACGTCGGCGCCAACTCTGTCCAGGGAGAGGTTGTCGACCTCGCTGACGAAGAGCACCAGGTCGAGGTTGCCCGACGCGCGAGGCCGCCAGCCGCTGGTCGCCAGCGACGTCAGACCCTTCAGCGCCGCCCTGTCCGGGGGTTTCCATGTGAACTCCAGCACCCCCCTGGCGGCATAACTCCTCGCGCCCTTGGCGTGCGTCGCCTGTGGGCCCTCGGCGTTCTTGGCCACCCGGACGAGCTGGCGCTCCATTGCGCTCTGCACCTCCGTGGCTGCCTTGGCCATTGTGATGCGCGCGCGGGCCGCCACCTTATCCTTGAGCAGCTGCGGCACCTCTGGCCGGTCGGCCACGATCGCAGGCACGCTCAGGCGAGTGCGGGTCACAGTCCAGCTGCTCAGCTCCGCCGTGTAGGATCCCGACGCCTGCGAGGGTTGGGCAGGCAGGCGGCAAAACGTCACGAGGAGGTCGCAACTGCCGCACCATACCTGTGGTACGCAGAGGTACGCCGCTGGCCACTTCGTGCTGCGTGTCAGCGCTGGCACGGATGCCGATGTCGTAGAAAAGGCGGCTTCGTCCGCTTGCGAACACGCAGCGCGGTCATGTGCCGCTGATGGGTCGCGTATGGACTGCATGGCACGCGTCAGGTCCCAAAAGTGAATATCCCCGTTGGAACGGGTATCCACGACGCATTGCACATGTGGCAGGAAACTCAAGCTGTAGACTAGAGATGCAGAGGTCGATTCCAACCCTAGCGTGCAAGCTGGGGATGCGGGAACTGTCTCCGGGGCGCCACCCATATACCAAACATTGACGCATGCGTCTGTGGCGTTCCGTCCTCCCGTCAGCACGAGGTCCCGAATGCTCACAACGCGGATGACTGGAGGCTGGTCTACGCTCCGCGCTGCAGCTGGATACCGTCGCTGGTGGTTCAAGCAGCTCGGACGAACTGCGCCATCTGCCAACCTCACCTCGGAGCAGGGCGAGATGACACAACAACAGCTCAACATCGGTCCCTGGAATCCCCTCTGGGGTCCAAAAGAACCAGTTTTCCGAGCTTCGTCCAGCCGTGGCGACGAGGGCCCCTTCCCGAATGATAATTACCGTTGTCTCAACTTGGAGGCGGCCAAGGGATCTGAGCTGGTTGGGACCCTGGAGTATCGGCCAAGAGGACGGACGGGGCCAAATCCGTTCAACCATCGATTTCCCGACCCTCAAGGGCCTATTCGGTTCAATTCTTTCGGCCCGTGACGTTTCTGACTGCCCCGCCTACTGGCATCAATTCGTTAATAGCGGTTACTGGGTCTTACGAGTGGTTCGTAACTATTGGGAAAAGGCAGGGTTGTTGGAATTGCGCAGTCGTTGCTTGCATGCGCCGTGTATTGTTGGATCTCATATTTTTTGTGTTTCAGGCAACCCACACAGGCAAGCATTTGATGATGTGTCGTTCTCTGTTGATATCCCGGAGAACCGTTTTCATTTGAAGACAGGCATCGCCTCGCAACGCGCGTTGCTAACAGCATAACCTGCGACACTCACCCGGCCAAACGCACGTGGCATCGTCACTAAACCTCCTGAATACCAATGGTTTTCAACGCGCAGAAAGGGACGAAAACAGGATGTCGATCATGCTCGGAGGAATTCCTACAACTGCCATCGAGAGCACGCGCATGCTCTATGGTCTGAACCTGCACTCGGCTATGCGGCTCATCGTCGTCACAAGCCACGTGGAACCACACCTGAACTGCAACGTGGCCACGACCAGTTCCAATCAGGACTACGTCGCCCAGTATAGTTGGCCCAAATCGCTGTATTCAGCAAGGTTCGGAACTGCTGAAATCATGCCTGGCCGCAACTGCCGCAAATCCTACACCAACTTATTCGCTGCAGTTGTGGCGTCCCCCAACCCTGTTGCTATACGGAAATCATTAAACTCATGACTGCGCTGAACCGCGAGCTGGATGATAAAAACCGGTTTTCGTTAGCAGGCTCACCCGCAAGTGTGATATGTTGAAAGCCGCTCGAGAAGCTTGTGCTTGCCATTTTTGGGGCAAACAATAATCAAATGCCATGGGCTTTCAAGCATGTCAGCCAAACGGATAGCCATGCGGTGCTTACGAACCCAACACGTGGCACTGCGTACACGCTCCTGAATGTCCGAGTGTTCCAGCACAACTGACTCGACCTCCTCGCGGGCGCACGGGGATCGCATCGCCGCGCAAATAATCGCATCCACAGCGTCACACGAAGGCGGCATGCCTGCCATCTGGTCTGCGATTGCACCGAGCGATGGCGCCTTGGCTCGAAGTCGCCATCAGCGCCAGGCCAACACAATAATCGCAGATAGCTCTGTCGAGGCGCTCGCCTGGAAGTCACCCGTTCGCCAGACGGCCGAAGCAGATTGGTGCTTGCGGGGCCGAGCTCACTTCGCGAAATAGTCGTGGAGGTCGCGGGCGCTGGACAGCTCCTGGAATGCCTCGTGGTCTTCGAACTCCTTGGATTCCCATTCAAAAACACCGCCATCCCTCCCCGCCCCCGCCCGCCCGCGCCCGCTCAGACACACGCGCGCGAAATATATGCGCATCCAATCGAAGCAGAGGAATGCCATCATCAAGTGTCACAGAAATGGGCCCAACGCGAAGTGCGTAGGGCGTGAATTCCAATAATTGCTGTGCGCGGCGGATGCGCGCTGCGCATCGGTGCGCTGGTCTCGCTCGCGCCTCCCCTGTGCAGGGCGCAACGTCTCCAAGATCGCGACTACTGCTGCGTCGGTGTAACTGACGAACTGGCTTTTGCCATAACGAGTGTCCTCATCGAAGATCTCTGGAGGGTCGAGCGGCGGGTTGTTGAACCTGTCGTTGATGGCGTTCCTGCGCGCGGCGCAGGCGTAGGAACATCGCGCCTTCTACCCAGATGGAGCTATCGCTACAGCTTCGCGACTTTTGTCGCGCATGCTGTTGCATCACCCAGCGCTGGCGCGTCTAGCGCAAACCCAGTCGTCTCGGATTTCACAACAACCGGCCGATCTAAGGAAACTCAACTGAGGATCGCGCGGACAAGCTGCCCGGCATCTCCCTGGGCATAACCTTCGCCTCGGCGGCGCGGGCGGCCACGGGCTTGAACCATGCATCTTCGATTAGTAAGACCTACTCAAGTTCGGCAAAACTGCGGCACGCGGCATCGCAACCTCGGTAGTCTTTGCCTTCGACGTGAAGACCCGCAGTGGCACCCCATCTGAGCGCAGAATGAGGGGCCAACAGATTGTTCCCAACCGTCCTGTGGTGTTGGGTCATCGTTTTGAAGAGACGGTCCCCGCGTTCCTCTTTCATGCCTCCTCTTCAATCCTCCCTGCGTTTCACCCACCCAGTCCGGCGCTTCGTAGCCCCATCAGGAGCTCCACCGAAGCCTCCAGTGGGAACGCACGCGTGCGTCATCCACCACCCAGCACAGCACTTCGTGGCCCCATAGGGAGCTCCATCGAAGGCTCTAGTGGGACCGTGTGCATGCGTCATCCACCACCCAGCACAGCGCTTCGTGGCTCCATGAGGGGGCCCCACCGAAGGCCCCAGTGTAACCGCCTGCATGCGCCATCCACCACCCAGCACAGCGCTTCGTGGCTCCATAGGGAGCTCCACCGAAGGCCCCAGTGGGACCGCCCGCGTGCGTCATCCACCACCCAGCACGGCATTTTGTGGCTCCATAGGGAGCTCCACCGAAGGCTTCAGTGGGACGCCCGCATGCGTCATCCACCACCCACCACAGCGCTTCGTGGCCCCACAAGGGGGCCCCATCGAAGGCCCCAGTGGGACCGCCTGCATGCGTCATCCACCACCCTTCACAGCGCTTCGTGGCTCCATAGGGAGCTACACCGAAGGCCCCAGTGGGGCCGCCCGCATGCGTCATCCACCACCCAGCACGGCATTTTGTGGCTCCATAGGGAGCTCCACCGAAGGCTTCAGTGGGACGCCCGCATGCGTCATCCACCACCCAGTAAAGCGCTTCGTCGCCTCATAGAGGGCTCCACCGAAGGCTTCAGTGGGACCGCCCGCATGCGTCATCCACCACCCAGTACAGCGCTTCGTGGCCTCATAAGCGGCTCCGCCGAAGGCCCCAGTGGGGCCGCCCGCATGAGTCATCCACCACCCAGCACAGCGCTTCGTGACCCCATAAGGGGACTCCACCGAAGGCCCCAGTGGGACCGCCCGCATGCGTCATCCACCACCCAATATGACACCATGGGGAGCTCCACCGAAGGCCCCAGCGGGGCCGCCCGCATGCGTCATCCACCACCCAGCACAGCGTTTCGCAGCCCCACAAGGAGCTCCATCAAAGGCTCCAGTGGGACCGCCCGCACGCGTCATCCACCACCCAGCACAGCGTCTCGTGGCTCCACAGAGAGCTCCGCCGAAGGCTCCAGTGGGACAGCGCGCATGCGTCACCCACCACCCAGTACAGCCTTTCGTGGCCCCGTAGAGGGCTCCACCGAAGGCCGCAGTGGGACCGCCTGCATGCGTCATCCACAACCCAGCACACCGTTTCGTGGCCCCAAAAGGGGGCTCCACCAAAGGCCTCAGTGGGACCGCCCGCGTGCGCCATCCACCACCCAGCACAGAGCTTCGCGTTCCCACAGGGAGCTCCACTTAAGGTCTCCTTGGCGGATTTCGCACGGCGGCCCAGTGGCGGAGTTCGCATGGCGGCGACTTTCGATGTTCGGAAGTTTTTCGTCGTATTCGACGTATTAAAGCCGTTTTCGGGCCGCGCATCCCGGGCGGGAGCCAGCCTGCTCGCTCTCTCTGCTCCGCGCAGCGGACGACCCGCGCGCGTCGCTGGGACCCCTTCGGGGCGACCAGCGCGCGTCGCGGGGGCTCCGTGCGGCGCCGCGCCCGCAGCCTTGGACGCGGGCGCGCACGGGCAAAGAGGAAGAAGAAGAACGGGAAGGAAGCGGGCGCGATCCTCGCGAGAGGCGCGCCGACACGGGCGTCGACATTTATGCGCGTAGATTCGCGCGCGCGCGCTCATCCACAATCGGACTCACTCGCTCTCCGTCTCTCGCACACAGACCTACCGTCTTCGCTCGCGCTGCGCGCCCCGCCGCGCACGTGCGCGCGCCCCTCGCGCGGTTCGCGGCCCCATAGGGGGCGCGGGCGAAGACGGCATTCAACATTGCGGTATTCACAACTGCATACGATTGGGTCCTTCGCCAAGCAAATTTTTTGAGCGCCCGGCAATGACCTGGGCCATCGGGCTGCCCCCCGCCCCCAGGACAACCAAACCTAGCCGGCCAGTCGCGCAGGTCCGGGGGGGGGGGGGCGAAAGGAGCTTGCAGAGAACGCTGCGTTCAAAGGCGCGGTGGTGTTCGCCACAGCATGCTGGTGTTCGGACGCGCGTCGGAGAAACGTTGAGGCTGGGAGTGGCGCGTGGAGATGGCGACGACGATGACGACGGACGACAGACGACAGACGACAGACGACGATCTGACGATAGACGACGACGACACCGACGACCGACGACGACCGACGCCGTCCATAGGCATCTGCACGTGCAAGTGAACAGCGCGTACACAGGCATTGCTCTGAGCGCGGGCAGCGAAGCGATTTGGCGCGCGCATTTGCTGCTGCTGCAGCAAAATCTGTCGCGTGCGCAGGCGTCGTGGCGCACGCAAGCATAAGAGCGCGCAGGTCGCGCGGTGCACGCGGGCATCGCGATGCATCCAGGCACGAAGGTGAAGACAAGCTTTGTGGCATGCGCAACTGGTGCTGCAATATCAGCTATCAGGCACGCAGGCATCCCAGGCATGGCGGTGTACAGAAGCACTGCGGTGCACTGTCATTGCGGTTTGCCGCGCCCTGTGGTGTACACAGGCGCCGCGGTGCACGCATCCGGCGCGCGCGTTCGCTATGGTGCACACAGGCGCTGTGGCCCCAAAAGACGGGGCCACTCCATGCGCAAGACAAGTCAATACATCATCACT